CACACAGATGTACAGGCGCTCTCAGGTGTAGTACGCAGCAGAAGGTAGGCCTGTCGAAAGCCGCTGGGTGAAAGGTCAGAGCAGCAGGGGGGATGTCATGGTGAGCGTCTGCTACAGGCCACCTCAGGGTTCAGGAGGTAAGGGTGGAGGTCGAGATGGCCTTCTTTAAATAACTGACAGAAGCTTTCAAATCAAAGGACCTGCTTCTCCTGAGGGATTTATCAGGACATCTGCTGGGAGAGAAACCCAGCACTGCTCAAACAGTCTAGAAAATTCCTGGAGCGTGCTGGGAGTAACTTGTTTGATGCAGATGGGAAACAGGATGTCTAGGAAGGGAGCTCTTCTGGACCCATTGTTCAAAACCTAGGGAGGGGATCTGATTGAGAAGGGTTGAAAGTAACTTGGGTAGCAGTGACCACAAAATGAAAGCGTTCAAGATCCTAAGGGAAGGAAGGAATGAGAGCAGCAGAATATGGACGCTGAACTTCAGGAACGGAGACTTTAACAAACTCAGGAAACTGGTGGGAAGGACCCCCCCCTACGAGAGACAAGTCTACGGGGAAAAGGAGCCTAGTCAATGGCTTAATGTCTAGCTGGGAAAAGGTATTCAAGTGGGGTTCCACAGGAGTCTGTCCTGGGTCTAGAGCTGTTTAGTATCCTCATTAATGATTTGGATGATGGGATGGAGTGCATGCTTAGCAATTTTGCAGATGACACCAAGTTGGGTGAAGTTGCAGGCATTCTGGGGGGCAGGGTTAAGATCCAGAATACCTTGAACGGACTGGAAAAATGGTCTACAGTCAATCAGGTGAAATTCAACAAGGACAAGTGCAAAGTCCTGCATTTGAGATAGAACAACTGCATACACAAATAGAGACTGGGGAATGACTGGCTAGGCTGCAGTACTGCAGAGGAGGACTTGGGGCCTATAAGCTAAATATGAGCTAACAGCGTCACCTTGCTTCAAAAAAATCATACCAGGTTGTCTTAACAGCGCTCTTACCTGCCTGGGGCAGGGGGTCAGACTCAATCTGCTGAGGTCCCTTCCGACTCTAATATCTATGAATGTACAAACACGAGTTGTGACAAACCCTGTGCTGTTAAGATGTTGGGATGACCCCAAGGCGCAAACTTCTCTCCCCCTCCCTGTTCTGCTGCATGTTTTAGTAGATAGACTAGATCTTGCTCCTGGTGTGACTCCTGACCAACCTTAGGTCTCCCATACACACCCCAGTCCAGACCTTTGCAGCTCCAGCAAAGAAAGCTCTGCCACTCTTTGGGGCTATCATCCTGGGTTTGCAAATAAAAAATAGGGAAGCAGATTCCTTCCTTGCAAGGAAACAGAATGCCTGTAATAGATCATTTTGTGATCATGCTTGCCACAGACAATCAGCAGGGCAAAACAGGAAAAAGGTTTTATTCCACAAAAGATAAATCATACGTGCAGAAGCAGCTATAGTTTGAGAAAGAGAGGGGGAAAAAAATAAAAGGTCAGAAATACAAGATGTCACCCTACTTCTCTATATAGAAACAGCTTCAGAGTAATCCCTGCTAATCAGCAATTTCCCTACAGATGGCTTTTCTTATCT